GATTATAGAGAACTTCCTATTTAATGTGGACCCAAGTCTTGGTAGGGAAGTTAAGGAAGCTCGACCGAAGGATGGGAAATGGACTACGTACAAGAAGAACCTCGTTGAGCTTTACAAATTGGAGGATAACAAGTATTCCATCAAGGACCTTGAAACAATGACTCAAGATGAAGATGAGAGCGTACGGACATTTGGGATGCGTTTCCAAAAGATCTTCGACGTGCTGATGAAGAAGGGGAAGATCTCATAGGTCGAGCGCTGTACTATCTTCATCAGACACTTGTCCAAAGGTAGGCAAAATAGTATACTTAGAGATCTTCCGCGCGACAGACTTGATTTCCCAGAAGTCCTAAAGCTCGCGATAAAGGCAGAGGCAGACGATTACAAGGATTTGGTGTGGAGAGGGATGAGGAGACGTGCCTTCTCTCTCTACAAGGAGTATGCCACKGATAGATGTCCTGATTTCAAGGATTATCCCTGGTCGGAGAAGAATGAGGCCGTGGCTGAGGAAGTGAAGGAGATACGGGACATGGTGAAGGGATTAACGAGACAGGTTACAGAGATTGTGACCGCTACAGGGGCCACGACCTACCGGGACAAACCTGGAGGATCCTATTCACTTCGCTGGAACCGTAGGAACAACGATCCCTGAAGGAGTGTCGAGGATAGAAATCCTCGGACGCTGACTGATTATCGTACGAGGGGAAGAGAGAGAGAAGATGACCGAGACCGCAGAGATCGCGAGCCGTTTGTGCGAGCAAGGAGGCTGGATGATTACCCGCGAAGCCCTCTCTATGAGGCCGATCGGGGTAGAGGCGACTCCCGCGGCCGATGGGAGACAGAACAGGGCCGACGAGATGGATATAGGGACGACAGATACGAGGGATCAGACCGAGATGGATATTTGGACGACAGATACGAGAGGTCGGGTCGAGATGGCTACAGAGGAAGTAGATATGAGAGAGGAGATCGGGACTGGGAACGACAAGATGGGTTGCGCGGACGGTTTGAGCGCAGGGGAGATGCGAGAGAGCAGCGCGACGAGTCGCGAGAGTGGTACAACTGAGGGGACCGACGCGATGAGTCACAAGGACGATATGACTCGGGGGACCGCCGGAATGATTCGCGATGGCGGTATGAGCAAGGAGGGTTTGGAGGAGACCGGCGCAACGATCCGCGCGGTCGGAATGAGAGAGGGGGATATGGCGTCTCATCAGAACCATATCCCAAGTCGCCTGACCCCAAGGTGGCCAGGAGTTCGATCTCTAGAGGCACAGACGACAGGGCATCTACTCCCAAGAACTCATGCGTCTATTGTAGAGGAGAAAATCATATCAAGAGGGATTGCCCGGACCTCAAACGGGCAATAGATGAGGGACTTGTCGTGCTTGACGACCGCAAGTACGTCAAGTGGGCAGATGATCTGGGAGATGTATCGATGTTCCCTTCGATGAAGGAGAATGTCGAAGCGAGGAGAATAAAGACGAGTAAAGGAATGGAGCCGGTCAGGAGCCAGAGCATCAAGATAACCTTTGAGGGGGATATCGCGACC